ATATGATATATCAAAAGAGTATTACGTATGTATGTATAATAATGTATTTTGTTTTACTGCCGATTAGCTCTGTGCCTGTTGGCATTCGTACTCGCCAGCCCGGCCAAGGACTCGAAGAAGGTGGTCAATAGCTGTGCTCGCGCCTGCGGAGATGATTACGAGCCCGTTTGTGCCAAGGCCAAGAACGGCAGCAAGGAGCGTCTCTTAACTTTCGGCAGCTCCTGCGTCATGGCCAACTACAACTGCCAGCACGCGGACGATCGTGAGTTCTTTTCGAAATTATTTCCTATTGAGATTTAAATAAAATCTTTAACTTTCAGCATTCGAGGTCAAGTCAAAGGGCGAGTGCGGCGGCGGAGTTAGCGTGCGTCTATCATAAGAATCACGATTAACGAACCTTTGCAAATGAAAATGGGAAAATCAGCATATAATGTATATTAACAAGATCAATAAACGCATTTTATATTCAGATCGTTTAAACATTTAATTGATTATTAATTAAGCTTGAATTTTGCATAACTACAAAATTTAATTGGCTTCCATCCACACTGCAAGCATATTGTCCATTCACAAACAAAATTTAGATAAGTAGCCAGCGTCCATCAGTATTAGCTACCCTCTAAGACAAACACATATTCCATGACCGTTCAGATGGGGTCCAGTCACTCCAAAGCGCACGCACACACACATATTCACAGATCGTTCAATTAGGATCAGTTCCAGCTAGACCTTATTGTTCAGTTTCTGAATCCCAAATCTCACAAACTGCAAATGAAGAACTCTACATAAGTATGAATTCTCTGACCACTTATATAACTACTTACACAGCCACATTCATAATAATCTAAAACTCAATGCAAAATAACTGTATATATATGTATATCGGTTTTCTAATATTGATAACTCTTATTGGGTTATCATATCTACTATTTGTATGTAACTTGAGTATTTGCATTTAATTCGACTCATTCTTCTGCTGCTTGACTTTATAGTCAGCTAAGGCGGCTTTGATGGCATCCTCTGCCAGCATGGAGCAATGTAGCTTCACAGGCGGCAGACGCAGCTCCTTGGCAATATCTGTATTCTTTAGCTTGCCCGCCTCGTCGATGGACTTGCCCTTCACCCACTCCGTGGCCAATGAGCTACTGGCGATGGCCGAACCGCAGCCAAATGTCTTAAATTTGGCATCAATGATCTTGCCATTCTCATCGACTTTGATCTGCAGTTTCATAACATCCCCACAGGCGGGTGCTCCAACGAGTCCAGTGCCAACCCTTACATCCTTCTTGTCCAACGAGCCCACGTTGCGTGGATTTTCGTAGTGCTCGACTACCTGTAATTAAAAGCGAACTCAGTTATCAGCACGTAATTTTTATCTTGCCGCGTGCTAAAGAAAATGAAAACAAATCGTTAATGTGATTATATATGTATATATGTACATACATATGCGTGTGTATATATGTATTTATAGTATAAAACATATTACGAAAGGGAATTTCATGCGGCAAACATTTTTTATTAAAACTTACATTTTCATGGTATAAAGCTATTGGCACGCTCTGCACCCGACGCAGCTGGGATTGCAGAAGACGCGAGGATTTCTTAATGAAAGACATATTTATTCCAAAAATTTACTTTTCACAAAGCAACAGAGTTCAAAAAAATAATTGTGAAATTGTAGCACGAGCAGGAACAAAAACACACTGATTGCTGCGTAATTTATATCGAACCAGCTCAATGAACTACTTACTGTTGTAATCGAGAACGGTAACAAGAAGCTTTAATCGTTCGTTCATGGTTTCTAGAACCAAAATATTTTTCCTTTTGTGTATGAGTTCATGCGTCTGTATGTGCATACATATATATGCATGTGTGTGTGTAAATACGTACACATGTTATTTGATATTAAATGATTTCTTGTTTGGCATTTAATCATTGCTTTTGTTTAGGCTGAATTTCCATTGTTTACTTGGTCGCGAACCTTTAAATTTAGCAATACACAGATATCCCCACCACTCCATGATGAAATGAATTACAAATTGAGATATTAAACATAAAATTTATTGATTGAGCTTAAATAAGACATTCGTTCACATAGAATTTTGCAATGTTTCGTTGATTATAGCATTATTATTATATTTTCATTGTTATCGCCATCTCCATATCTTCGGCATTGACTTATTTAAATATACAAAAAAAAAAAATGTGTTATAAAAATGTTTCATTCTCTCTTCTTATTTTTACCGGTTTTGTTGTTGTTTAGCTTTGCGTTGTTTGTGGGACGAAGGATGAACTGCCCATCCCTAAAAAATAGAAAGAAGTTGGCTGATATGCCTCCCATTCCGCCGGCAGCCAGCACGCAAGGAGATATAAGAGCACGAAGGGCTGTCGCTGCTTCAGTCTTCGACAGCATATTTCTGTGTCCATTCGCGTGCATTGCGTATGGCCTCGGCCTCGTTTACCTTCCAGAGCTCCGCCACATCGTTGGCCAAGGGATCGTCGGGATTGGGCGCGCTGAGTAGCGCCTGAATCGACAATAGTATGGTACGAATTTGCAAAGCCGGACTCCATTTGTCCTTTAGCACGTCCAAGCAAATGCGGCCAAGGCGATCGATATTGGGATGGTAGATCTTTGTAATGAAACGCACCTTGGGCGCCGACATGGGATAGTCCTCGGGCAGGAAAAGCTCCAATTTGAAGACGCCGCCCTCAAAGGGCGAATCGTTGGGACCGGCGACAACTACATGGAAATACCGTGCATTGTTTTCATCAGGAATCGCATTGATCCCGGGCACCGGCTCTTGCATCAAGCGTTGCGTCTCCTTGATGATGCGACGTGGCAGACTGGACATGTTTTGACCTTCTTTTATTCTTTTTTTAGTCCAAGTTCTTGCTGTCGTTTCTGTTGTTAAGAACGACAAGAAGATATTCGCCTTTTGAAGTGTGTGTTCAGCGAATGAGTAACTTTCTTGCACCTGTCTAACTACGAATAATTATTGCGAACATAGGAGTATTACAATGTTCCGCTATAAAACTATGATTTATAAGTTTGATCGAGCGTTGTATAAAAGAAAACTTGCCTGTGTCCCTAAAACCTGAACAGAAATCTAGTTCCGAAATTGAAATGAACTTGCACAACAGCTGGCCGAGCAGTGTTGGTAAGTGTTAGCTCAAATCAACATTGCCTACACGTTTCAATCCCATTCATTGGAATGAGCGTGTATTAAATGACGGCGCTGATGTGAAACTACCAGCAAGAGTAGCAACAAAAGCCTGACAATCACTCCTAGCTGACACCCACAACGAATTGTTGAATTATTCCAGAGTTTAACAAATTGACTAATACGATGACGTCACGAAAACGGAGCGGCAGCGGTTCCACGAAACGTCCAAAAGAAAAGGTTTGCACGAATATGATATATCGGACATCTTTGATATTTTCATTTTGTAGGTTGTTTACATTTATGAGTTGCTTTGCCGCGGAGAGGATCCCAGCGTTGATAGTCCAGAGTTCTGGAACGAGTTCTTTCTACTGCAGCCTAATTTCGAATCCCTGGAGGACCAAATCAGCAAACTAAACAACGAACAGCTGCAAGTGGTTAAACCGAATCTGAATACGTTATTCCAGAAATGCATCGAAATGCTGGACACCTCAAGGGGTAAGAGCTGCAATACTTAAATGAAGAGATCTAGAAACACCCCTTTAACTACTCTAGAGGATCATCCCAAACGTCTGTGCAACAGTCTTCAGACATTATGCTCGCTCTTCTATGGCATATTCAGAAAGTGCAATACGGATGCCAGCTCGAACATATTGAACGAGATCTTTGGCCACGAGACAATGGATGAATGGCTGAAGCTGCTAATGCAATACTGCAATCGCATTCTGCTTGGCGACGTCACAGAGAACGCCCGGTTCATGTGCCTTAAACTATTGCTGGTGCTGGTGACTGGCACGGATGTTGGGCAGAATGTGCTTTTCGAGTACCTCATGATGCACAGCCTGTTCGATGCATTTGTACGCTTGCTAAGCGACCCCACGTTTCGCGCCCAACATGGCCACGATATTGTTATACTACTTACCATCCTGGTGAACTATCGCAAACACGAGGCAACGAATCCATATGTGGTGCAGCTCTCCATTTTGGCCGACGAGCTCGCATTGAATGGGTAAATAATCAGTTAATGCTCTACTCGCAAATAATTACTAGAATATGTGCGATAAGGAATGTTTGGTATTATGACCCTTTATCAATTTTTTCGTAGATATGGTCAAATGATCTCACAGTCGCTGATTGATTTTTGCCGCCAGTACATTCAGAGTTTGAACAACGTGCAATCCTCTTCGTGGTTCTCGTCGCTTTCAAGCATGGTTGGCAACATGTTTGTATCAGACGAGGGCTGTGAGCGTGTGCAGCAGATCAAGGCTAACAATGGCCTACTGCTCGCCCTTTATGAAGCAGTGCATCTCAACCGCAATTTCATCACAACACTGGCTCACCCACAGACGGAGTCGAGTGCACCGCCATCGCCGAGCAACACATTGAGTCTGACGCAGCCAACGCCTGACCTGGCCAACGCACCCATCATAGACATGACTCAGTATCCGACAAACCTGCTCGTGGCCGTTTTTCAATATTGGTAACTCAAGCCTTAATATCAGTTAAGCGATCCCCGCTAAGTCTTTTGGTACGCTTTTTCAGTTCGATTGTGATGCAAGATAACAAAAACGAATCGAGCATTGCCAATCTGAAGCTCTGCTTTCTGATACTCACTTGCATATCGGAGGATCAGTATGCCAACTCAATGATGCACGACAGCAACTTAACATTTAAGGTGATGCTGCATCGTGCCCAAATGCGCCATCGCAAGCTAAATGTGGATCGCGTAGGCAAATCGCAGCCTCTCGCTGCCACATTACTCGATTTGCTGGTGGAGTTCATTGTCTCGCATTTAATGAAGAAGTTCCCCATGGAGCTGTATTTGCTGTGCATTGGAGTCATTCATCGCATTCTATGTTATCAGAAACGTTGCCGTGTTCGTCTGAATTATCCTTGGAAGGAGCTGTGGTCGGCCTTGATTGGCCTGTTGCGCTTTCTGGTCAATCAGGAGCAGACGCTGGTCAAAAAGTGCAATATATTCCACTTATCACTGCAGGTGGTCAACATCTTCAATCTGTTCATTACATACGGCGACACATTCCTGGCCACAACGAACAGCTACGACGAGCTCTATTACGAGCTGAATCGTGAGGAGAAAGTCTTTACGGAAATCCATGCCATGGGTAGGTCAAGAAATGCCAATGCTTGAAACTCAGCTTTATCTAAGATTCGTTCTAGTTTTGCGCTACACAACAATGCCGGAGTGCGAGTACAAGGACGACGTTATCAAACTCTTGAATGCTCTTGTGAATATACTCGCCATTGTTAAGCACTTTCAAAACAAAATCAAGGAATGGCTGGCCGAGCAGGGCTTGTCCACGCCAACAGAGGAACAAATACTTGATGTCGTTCGGAAAAATTATGACCTTACATTAAAACTGCAGGACTCGCTCGATCAGTACGAACGATACGCCGAGGCACCGCTGCACAGCAGTTTCTTTCAGGCCATGGTGCGCGATGTGGTCAATGATACGCGCAAACATATCTATGGCTACGTTAAGGAGGCTGTGTCCGTTATACCCGAGCAGGAGGTACTGCTGACAACGGCTGTTACCGCATCGACGCCAACAACCACGCCATCCACGTAGGAGCCCATAGACTCCAAGACTGTTAAAATTGTTTCCTGGCGTTTAGTTATGTAATTGTAAAACCTAATTATTCAATCTCTGGAAGCATAACTCTATGTAATCTATAAGATTAAAAGTGCTTTTGCGAGCTTTTGTTAATTTTCGTTGTCGAGCAGTGCACTTATACATAAATTTATACACTTATACATAGACATATATACAAATAATACATAATAAATAAACCTATATATGCATGTATGTACATATATACGTACATATATGCCTACGCTACTATTTATCATTATAAATGTATTTAAAATATATTCCCCATATTTGTCTACATTTTCAAAGAGCGCATTTTACATTTA